GGCGGCAGCAGCTGCATCCAAGCCACCCTCGGCCCGCTCCCCACTGAATGCCATGCAGCCAGCCATGGGAAGGTGGTGTGGTGGTGGCTTCTGTGTGCAACACCCCTGCACCCCCCCCTCCCACCCCCGGCCTGCAGAGGGGCACCCTGCCTTCATCCTCCAGCCCTACTCCTGGGAATGGACTGAAGTGCAGGGGTACGTACGGAGGTGTTGTAGTGTGCTGCTTGGGGCACCCGGCGTGCCCTCGCTCCCTCAGCCACCTTTCCCCTCCCCCAGCCCTGCCCCACTTACCTCCAGCGGCGAAGGGTGAGCCTGAGCCCTAGCCCAGCCTTGGCTGACTCAGAGGCTTAGGCCCTGCCCTTCCTCCTCTCCCTCCCCTTCCGGCAGGGCTGGGGGTTTCCTGCTATTTCTGCAATCAGCTCTTGCGGGCTGGAACTTGGCCAAACTGCAAGAGCTCTTTGCAAGTGGAGAATCCATGGTTTTCTCTGTTTTTCCATGGGAAACGGAAAACCTGGATCCTTGGTGATAACAGTTTTTTGCAAAATGTAGCATGGGCATAGACCAATGTTTCTAAATTTCCTCATGTGATTCCTACAAGATAATGTTATTGAAAGGAACATACTCCCTCTTTTTAGTTGGGGTAGGATTGCTTAGAAATTGGAGGAGGCAGGAGGCACAGAAATGATGAGACAGTTTCCCTTAGATGTCACAAAACCATCGTTAAGTGAAATTAGTTTGAATTTGAACAAAGCTTTGAATTGCTTATTTAAGAAGTCATTATAACTTGGGCAGTAGGGATTGTCATCTGTTTTAAATTAATGTTTTTAAGTAAACTTGAGTCGGCAAAATCCTTCTTAATTAATTTTGTGTGTACTGAAGGAATTCTAATACTACACTGCATTTTGAGATCATTACCTTGGTGGCAGGGGTTATGTCATAGTTGCAAGGAGACATTTATAAAGTTGAAACCTTTCATTTGCTTTCTAACTGCAGTCTAATTCTACCAGTTAATTAATGGGAGTATTTTGCTATGATGTTTCTTTTTGACACTTACCAGCATATTACATAATATCAGTTTGCTTTTTGCTGGAGAGGTCCATAAAAATAATGGAGTAGAAGAATCCTTGATATTTTCATACTTAAAGCTTGTGTTTCTAAATCACTTCTTTTAGTAAATAGGAGTTTTTAATTGGATAGTATTCTTATGCCAGCAACAACAGTTACTGATGGTTTTCTTAACTAGTTCTCTTATGCTCGTCTGTTTCAGTGCCCTCATTTTTTGAATAGTGACATAAAAGTGGACTTAATACCACCAGAATTTTAATAGACTCAATTGAGTAGTAAGTTTGTGTTGGGTATATTAAAAAAATCATTCTTCAAGATAAACATTTTGGAAAATATCACAGATTATTTCAGATAGCTAATACTTGTAAAGAAATACCTGCAAGTACTTTCAACTTTGTGGCATGGCGGTAGCTCTGCATGGCTGTCCTGACAGTGACATAAAGCAGCCCACTTTGTCCTGTATTATCTGCCACCTTCCCAGCAGGTTGCATTCCACACATTGCAGAGCTGCTGATCCTCCTCCACTCTTGCTTTGACTTGCTTTGGTGGGGGGAGTTTGAAGACAGATTCTGCTATTTTTAAGGGGCCTTTCATTCATCAGAAGGGGATCTGATAAGAAGTATGATAGTAAGGGAATGTTAATTTGTTTTTATGACTGCATAATGCCCCTTTTGTCTGTGTTTGCAGAGACTAAGGAAGTAAATATGACAGGCGGTAAAGAGAGAGAGCAAGCCAGACATGAAAGAGTATTGCTTGGTAACATCAACTGTTAATTCAATTCAAATCTTTATTTTTAAAAGCCACCCTTAATGAAAGCAACAAATTTGCCATTTTCTGATCTGTCTTTTCTATCGTTGTTTTTGTGGTTGTTTTTTACTCAGGAAAACTGTTATTTGTCAAGATTAATTTTGCAGTCAAGTGAGCTCCAACTGAAGGAGTTCAGTCTGCATGGGGATGTGGCCTGCCCAGTTATTGTGGTCCCCAGCTGATCATTGTGTGCATTAGCAGTGGTTCTCAACCTTGTTTGTACCAGGACCCATTTGTAAACATCAATGGACAGTCCTGACCCGTGCCTCCTGGCCCCTGCCCGCCAGTGTGTAGGGCAGGGGGTGGGTGTGTGGGGCAAGGGGGTTCCCAAGCACCACCTCTGAGGCTGGAACTCTGCCAGCCTGCAAGGCAAAAAACACATTTTGCCCCAATTTTCTCCTTTTAAAGGAGAGTCCATTTTTAATGTTTGTTCATGACCCTTTCATATATTCTTGTGACCCATTTTTTTTGGGTAATGACCCACTGGTTGAAAAACGCTGCATTAGTGTGATCTTTTGCCTGAATCTCAACAGTTTTTTTTTTTTTTTTTTTTTTTTTTTTTCTTCCCCAGGCTCCTATTAACATGTATATGTTGCCTACTAAATTTTGTATTTTTTTTTCTTTCATGTGTTGTGTGAAGATTGACAAGAGTCTGAGGTACAAAAATTTTGGAACATAAGGCCTCCCACAGCCCTTGAAATAATATCCCCTCTTGCAAGGGAGACCTTGATTGCTTTCCCACCTGTTCTGGGGAGGAAAGTACCATAGAACAATAATCTTGTAAAGCAAGATAATTCCCTCTGGTACCACTGAGTGCACTTAGGTGGAAAAGAGACAGTTAGGCATGCGTACCATGAATAAAATGGAAGGGGCTAAATGGAATGACTTGTCTTTTAATTACTTCTCTTCTGCCACCTCTGAGTAGGGAGTGCAGGAATTGCTCCTGTGGTAGGTTGAGTGATCCTGTCCATGGCTTACCTGCACCGCTGGATTTAGTGTCAAAGAGCAGGAAAACCAGCAATTTCCAATGGCCAAACAAATTGTTTACAGGCTGGAGTGAGTTTGAGAAATGCAAACCAATTCGGGTATATCTGATGAATCTAGGTCCAGGACTGGTGTGCAGTGGAAAACCAGAAGAGTTCTGGACAAATGGAGATGCCTTCCCAGAAAGCTGGACTCTTCCTGTTGAGCCCTTATTACAGTTCAAAACTGCCAATTTATTGAGAATTCTTGGAAAATGGTTCACGTTAGTTACAGTAACTTTCTTGACAAGCAAGCCACCTAAGTTTGCAGCAATCTAGAAAATATGAGAGTCTGCCGGGAAATAATGCCTCCTATTCTTTTTCAGCCAGATAATTGTTGAAAAACGTATTAAACTAGTATAGAAAACTTGTACTTCATCTCTGAACATGCAGCTGTTTTTAGCATAGGTTACCTTCTCCATGAGTAGTCTTGTTCCATGGATGAACAGGGACCTGTATCCCAACATCGTGAAAGTTCTTGTCCCAGTTGTGTACCCACTGTCACACAGCCTCCACACTTCTGTCATCCTGAAAGTGTTGCTCCTGGGGCTGTACAGAGGATGTGGCAGCACAGTCCATTCAAACAATGAGATTTGCTTCTGCGGTGCACAGGATGGTGTGGAAGACTGCTGTGCAGTAGCAGCACTTCAGACATGTCTTCATTGGGACAGGCTCTTTGCATAAGATATTTTTGTTTCTTCAGGGTCTTGATGTGGAACAGACCTTCTGAGTTTTATCATGGTTACCTCTAGGCAAGGAATTGACAAGAACACCACCCTCTATGCCCGTGATTTACTTAGAATCATAGTCATAGAAAATTAGGGTTGGAAGGGACCTCAGGAGGTCACCTAGTCCAACTCCCTGCTCAAAGCAGGACTGTACCCAACTAGATCATCCCCGCCAAGGCTTTGTCTAGTTAGGTCTTAAAAACTTCCAAGGATGGAGATTCCACAACTTCTCTGGGTAACCTGTTCCAGTGTTTTACTAGCCTCCTAGTGAGTTTTCCCCCTAATATCTAACTTAAACTTCCCTTGCTGCAACTTGAGACCATTTTACTTAGGAGATAAGAATTAGGAGGTATTACTTTCTGGCCCCTGGCAGATGTCGTTTTAGTCATTGATTGGGATCTGATTAATTTTATCCCAGATCCCCAAAATTACACTTCTTGCCATGTCAAATGTACATGGCAGAGTGTGTGATTTGTGGGGATCTTGTGTAAAATTGGTCAGACCCTAGTTTCATGACTTCTGTCTTGCAGGGAGCCCAAAATCTGGGGCTACTTGATGCTGTACTTCCTACGGCTCCTTTCAGTTTGTCGGTAGCTTATGCATTAGGTTGCACCTTGCAAACTTAGGCGCAAGCATATGGGGAGTTGATCAGCTGGGTGAACTCCCTATGTGGCAGCACCTAGAGCTACAGCGGTGCAGCCTAATGCGCAGTTCTACTCTGCAGCTTTCCACTTACTGGCACATGATGAGCTGGTCAGCTCATGGCCTCCCCACAATGGCAACTAAAACCACAGCAGTAGAGCCTGATGTAGTGTTCCACCACATAGCTTTCAACCTGCCAGCACGTGGGACATCTTTGTGGTTAAATGTGTGATAAATGTTATATCTTCCAGAATTCTCTGACTGAGCCTTGTGTATAGATTTTTCTGGAGGTGTGTTGGGGTTATGGCTGGCTCCATTCATTCCAAGGTTGGGGTAGGTGAGGAAGATATTTTGTTTTGTTAGTATTAGCTATTTCATGTGGGAAGAAGAGTTTTTAAAATGGTCTCATTACGTGAACTTACTTTCTGCAGCAAGAAGTTAAACTAGAGTCCTCAGCTGGCTGGACAAATGAGGCATAAGGAATTGTAACCAAACAAGTTTAACTTTCAGTGATTTGAATCTCCCTTTAATGTACGATCTTAAACTAGAGATGCTGCACCATGGGTGGTGATGGTGGACTAGTACAGCCAGAGGTGGATAAAAATCAACGATTTAAAAAAAAAAAAAAGGATGTTATATATTTTTTAAGATATTAAAAAAAAACTTTTTTTATAAAGATGGTTTTAATTTAAGATGTGTTAAAGCTCATACATATCATGGAATAGGGTTTGTAACTTCTAACTATATACTATTTGAGACAATATATTCATGTAACATTTTTAGAAGTTTTATAAATGGGTCACAGCAGGCCATGGACTGTATTGGAGGTCTAGTCTCATGGAGCTCCCAGAGGTGCCTCTATAGACTTTTAAAGATTAATGAAAACCACTCTACCCAATAGGACTCAATGCTGAGTCTAGAAGATCCCATTAAACATCTCTGTGATGCTTAGTTTCAGTTCTCAAACTGTGGATTTGTCTCTCCAGAGATAACATCCTTGTAAACAGCAGTATGTGGAGTTGACAGAACAGACCTGATTACCCACCCATCAGCCTTATTGGCTCTCTGCACGTTTGTGTACACACAGTCGACTCCTTACCTTTTTTCTAAAAGTGCAAAGTTTTTTCAAGAAGTTAAATCAATAAAGGATGCCCAACAACAAGATTGCACCTTTTGCAGAAAACAATGATTAAATTGAGGCTTCCTGACCAGTGATTTAACTAGTGATTTAAACCAAATCCACCCTGGTAGCAGCAAGGACTGAATCTTTTTTTATTGTTGTTTCCTCCCCACCATCCACTAACTCAGTGCCTAGAGCTGATGCCCTGTTTTCTCTTCCCTCAGTTATGCTGCTGTCTTGAACATCTTGAATGATCTTGACTATCTTGATTGAATGTTCCACCTGTCACTAGTTTGTGTAATCAGTACACTCTTTTGATAGACAATACAGATGTATTAATTGTTTTCATTGCAATTGTCTGTGCCATTGGAGATGCATGTTAAGTACCTAAATTGAACTTCTACAGTACAGCAATAGTAAAATCCTGTCTGCAAAATAGAAGAGGCTAAAAATTGTTGGGCTTATCCTTTTAAGAGTTTGTGGGAAATCCGCAGTACTGTTTAAAGTATGGCATAGGCAAGGCAAGTAGTACTGCTTATCAAGGTTGCCTGATGCTTCCTATGATAAGATTTCTGTTTTCAGTTGCTTATAACTTTGACAAACTCTAACCAGCTGGGGTGACAACTTTCACACTGGGTATTCATTCACACAGCCATTTCTAAGAGCAGCACTTGCAAGAGAGCGTTGTTTTGACTTTTCTTTCTCTCTTTTTTTCTTTCTTTTTTTTTTTAAAGCTATGGGCACTTTTTTATTTTCTTTGAGCAGATCTGCTGACCTTCAACTTCACCTCAAGGACTTGAAATTTGGTGGGGGAGGGGGAGTTGGCCTTTACATCAAGGTGTCTCTTGTTCTTTGTTAGGAAGCTTCCTAAAGACTTGTAAGCAAATGTTCAGCAGACTCGGAGATTTTAGTTTCTAAACCATAAAGATGCTGTCCCTGCTAAGCATGCTTTGCATGTGCCTGCCTCTACTGCTGTACCATCCCCATGGAAGCTTCTAAGCATCCTAAAGGTATAAGGACTCATGTAATTACAACTGCTTTAGCAATTGCTGGGTTGGGGATTGAGAGCAGGTGAACTGGGTCTGGTAGGCTGTGGTGCCCTGATTTTAAATGTAGGTGGGACAAGAGCTGGACTGGAAGAGGAAAGAGGAAGAAGAGTAGATTAGGAGCGTGGTTGGGATTAATGCTGAAAGTTAGAGAAAGGGAGTGAGAAACTGACTGGGAGTTGGTGGAAGCAGCAAATAAGCAAATTGCCTAAGGGGACCAGACTGGATGTCAGTGAGATTATTTGTAGGACCCTTGTCTCATTTGTAGAATTAGGAAAGTTATGTTCAGGATTTCGGGAAGAGAAGGAAGATTGTTATGGCTAAGGCAGTCAAATGCTACTTTGAGTTGAAATCTATCCCTTATTGCCGTACTAGCTTCATTGTTTAAAGTCTCTAGGAATCTTCCAAGTATGGAAAAATAAATTAAACTATTCAGAATTGTGTGGTATGGATTAATGCCTTTCTGTGACTTGTACTTGCCTGTACCTGTATTGATAGTCTCCAGTGCAGGAATAATGATGTGCATCTTTCTAGCACATTTTACATTTTTTGACCCTTAGTATTGCAGGTATGTACTGTATTTTTAAGTAACTCACAACTTGAGCATACAGAACATTTATCTTATTCTTTTAATTTTAATTATATATCTGATTTTAATTGCATATCTTCCTTTTCATAAAATTGCTTTACTGTTGCCCTTGTTTTTTCTGTGGCTGTCTACCCAGAGAGATATGGGGGTTCTTAATAACTGCTGGATCTATTCAGGGTCTGGACTGTTGCTTTGGTTTTACAAGCAAACCCCCCTATACTTCTGTGATGGGAGGACTGGTATAGGTGCCAGGCTTCATAGATTTCATTAGGGCTGGAAGGGACCTTGTAAGATCATTGGGTCCAGCCCTCTGCCTAGGTGGTAGGATGTTGACTAGGGTCAAAGGATCCCAGCAAGATAGGCATCCAAATGTTTCTTGAAAGTGTCCAGAGTAGGTGCTTGTACCACATATGGGGGGAGTCTGTTCCAGGCTGTAGGGGCTCAGACAGTAAAGAAGTTTTTCCTTATGTCCAGCCTAAAACAGTCTTCCATGTTTTTGTGACTTATACCTTGTCTTTCCTTGGGGTGCCCTGGTGAACAGGTATTCTCCCAGATTCTGATGCACACCCCTTATGTACTTGTAGGCTGCCACCAAGTCACCCTTGAGCCTATGCTTCTCCAGGCTGAAGTCTCATGGCTCTCAGCCTCTTTTCATAAGCCATTGTCTCTTGCCCTCTGATCATGTGTGTGGCTTTCCTGTGGACTCTTTCAAGCTTTTCCACATCCTTTCTGAATTGTGGAGCCTAGAACTGGATGAAGTACTCAAGCTGCAGCTTCACCTAGGCTGAGTACAGCAGGAAGATAACTTCCTGGGTCTTGCTTGAGATGCATTGGTAGATGCAAGCCAGAGGTTTGTTTACTTTGCCGGTTGCAGTGTCATATTGATGGCTCATGTTCATCTTGTGGTCAGTCATGACCCCCAAGTCTTTTTCCGGTCGTGGTGCTAGTGAGTGTAGCACTGTTGAGCCTGTTAAGTGTGATGCAGGGGTTTCCCCCCGTCCCCTCCTTCACGGTAGAGCACTTTGCATTTCTTTGTTTTGAATGCCATCAGGTTTTCATATGTCCACCTTGCAAGCCTACTGAGGTTGGCCTGGATTGCCAGCCTATCCTCAAGGTCCCCCATAGTTTGGTGTTGTCAGCGAACTTAGGCAGTCCATTTCTGACACCAGTGTCTAGATCATTTATAAAGATAATAAAGAGTACAGGTCTGAGAACAGAGCCTTGGGGGACATCACTGATCACATTCAGGCATTCCACCATGATCTTCTAAACCTAGTTTGAAAATTGCCTGCATAGATGAAACCTGTGACTATAATAATATCTGCATTCTGAGAGAAAAATTGCAGTTCATCTCAGCTTCTAGTCAGCACTTTGGTCAAAAGTGTAGTCTAATGCTGGTCTCCCTAATATGGTCAAGCAGCATGTCTGCTTGCCTTTTACTTGTATTTAGAAGTAGCAGCTAGCAATATTGTCCTGCTGTACTGTTGTAGTCTTGTGCATGCCACTTGTAATATAATCATAGTTCTCATTTTCTGCTTGCAAAGTAGTATATGTAGTGGAATCCTAGTTGCTTTCCCAAGACAGCTGTGGTGAGCAGGTTGTTCTGATCTAGATGGATCTTACTAACTATGGGATACCAAGTCAATCTGGAATTGGGCTATACCCTTGTGTCTTGCCAGCATGATAAAAGGCGCTTTCCGTAACAGCACACCAGAGAGTTCTAGTATGCTAGAAAACAATGATGTGATGATCAACTATTCAAATCCTATTCTTTGCTATAAGTAGATTGAAAATCTTAAAGACCAGAAGAGAAGCGTGCAGTCTTTAAGCTGCAGGCAGATGCCTTTCTCTTCACCCTCCAGCTACCTTCACTTCGTTATGTATTAAAAAGTATGGTTGCTTTAACAGTTGTGGTTCTGCTCCAGAAAACTTTGCATAGGACAAGATTGATTAAACGGTAGTCAAATGAAAAGGTCAGTTGTCCTAAAAGCTTTTCTCTCCTTTGTTACACTGGTCTACTACCTTTCTTGACTATATCTGTTTGCTGGTAAACTGTATAACACTCCATAAATGTCACTCTTGGCATGGTGTACTTGGAGGACGTGTTTCTAATATACAGAAAAAGAAAAAGCAATTGACTCGCTCTCCTGTGGTTTTTAAGCACATAAGCCTGGCTGCTTACGCATTCCACACACTTTTTTTCCTGCTCACTGAACGCTTTCACCGCAGTTCACTACTTAGACGAATGAACGGAAATAACAACAGTAGGTTAAAAAAAAGTTCATGCATGTTAAAACAGCTTTTGAAAGTAAACAAATTGAAAAGAATGCTGCTGCTTCTTACACTTATAAAGATTTCACACCTTTGGGGTGAACTCGCGTGTTCGATGTGGTGCTGCAAGTCCACTGCTTTAAATAGAATACTTGTGTTGCTTGTGTATAGGTTTTAGCCATTGTTTGGTAAACTTGAAATACAGATCTTCCATATTTGAAATGTGTTTTAAATTTTTGTAGCTTGTTCCTGCAGGGAAGGTAGAATGCTGTAAGCCAGGATGTGAAATTGCAGCACCCAAACTGCT